CAAGCTTTCACTATTCAGTAACCTCAGTGCATGCTTCAATTAGCTGAGCCTGAACGTCCAGGCCTTTTTTCGAGCATGCGACTCCGACAGTGGTGTTAATCAAAATGAATAGGTTATTCGAAAGACTCTTCTGAGTAGTATTGTTAAAGTCGTAATCTTTTCTGCAACAAACTGTCACCGTAGTTCTTCTTTCTCATTCATACACCAAATTAATAACGCCATCCTTACAATCAATGAAACATCACTAAAGACCAACAACCGAACCTTCGCGGCTAGCTTTGGTAGTTCGATGTAAGCATGAACTATTATTAAAATTGTTTTTGTTGTCGTTTCTTATTGCCTTCCCTATTTTCTTCTTCTCCGCTGGTGAATCCAGTTACACCTTTTCAACTCTTACGTTTCTTTTTTTAAGTTCGACTGCGAGAAACCCCGCTCAGTTATGAAGTTCCAGATACCCAATGTAATGCGGACGCTTTCCATGGCCCTCTCAGTGTCCGTATTAACGGGGTTGGACTGTAACGCATAACGCCACAGAGAAACCTAACAATAGGTAAAACACTCAGACACCAATCGGCACTGCCTGCTATGCTATGCACCGATGAACCCAATCAATCTTGAAACTAATGGGCGGCACAAGAGGACCCATTACTTCTAAGCGCCTGCCACGCTGGCTAAATCGAGAGGGCCTGGAAAACAGCTGTCCATGGCTGCCGCTGTCTTCCTCAGTCCGAATCACGTGCTTTAAGTTTCTCCTACATTTCACCGCCGGATAGGCTGAGAGAGACGACAGATAGGTTTCACTACTGGCCAATGTTACAAATGGATCAGCAGGGGCGTAACCATGGTTTTTCCAGAGGTACGCACAATTTTCCAAATCCCCCTCCCTACTTGTTTAGTTAGGTGCCTTGATGAGATATGATATAAGTTGTAACCCTCCTAGGTACTAGGTAGAACATTTGAAGAGGACCTTGCAAACACGAGCACGTGGGTATCCTAACACATACAAGTTGAAAGTTGGCTGTCAAAGGTCATTTTTGTTTGACTCAGAACAATCTTTTGGTCCTAAAAAAAGGCAAAAAGTAGAGAGACAACTGATTTTCATCAATACATACCACCCAGCTGGAAAAGTGAAGTCTGATAGAAAATCAGCCTCTTCTGAAAACAATTTATAAAAAGCCTATGATCATTTCAAAAGAGGTAAATTATTTTCTAAAAGACTTGCTTGCTAAGGGCAAAAATATATAAATTTGAAGGCTTTAATAATGCAACGCACCAACAAATCCACTGATTAGGAGGTTGTATAGGCCTATCCTTGAGTTTATTTTAATGCGATCCGTGACAAAATTGAATTTCCGTATATGCTACTTTTCAATTCTTACGATTCTCACATCCCATCCCCATAAAATCAGGGAATTCCACTGCCGCATGTTATTAAATTTTCCTCCCCCCGCTCCTGTTTTAGCTCGCATACCGAGTACCACCCCAAAATGCAGCCAAATCCCGTATCACACATCCCGCCAAGGGCATCGTCTCTCACATAAAAAGTTGTGTTTGACCGAATAAAGACACCGTACTTTGACGTAATCGTGTCTTCTTCCACAAAGACAGACTGCCTTTTCCCTAAATCGTATCGTTCAAGATTTGGTGCACCAATTCATCATTCGTTTCGTTGGAATTTGGAAACCGACATTTGGGTGTGGCAGAAAAACATTCCGTTGTTTTAGAAAAAAGAACAATTCAGAGACACAATTGAAGCAAACTGGGCTTTTTAAAATAATTCTCTTTTATTTATTTACTTGCTTTTTACCATCATCTTTCATATTTTTAACTTCAGCATTTTCAGGTACGCACGCGCGTATCGTGCGTACAGGTGGCCCCCTCCCAGTAATTTTATACGAGGAGATAATTTCCCTGTTTGTACTACATACATGTATGTCTCTTGGCTCGGAACTACTCCATTAACCAAGAGGTTTTCTTTGGTGAAGACTGAGGGGAGAAAGGGGGATCCGGACAATTATCCGGACATTTCCGGACATCCCCTTACGGAAACCGGAAGCTGTTTTTGCGTGCGAGTCTGAAGGATTTGTTACCAGTCTTTTAACCGGTAGTCAAACTGAACATGGCCTCTGGACACTTCAGATCGTTGTTTCTTCGCGGTGCTGTTTTATCTCTTGCTCGAAGAGCTGCTACCAACATTTCGGTGTGTAGCTAGCGAAAACTGTAAGTTTAATTTTCTATTTTTTAAAATGGAAACTAAGTGGTGCAATCCTCTCATAATACACAGATCTCAAATGGAATAAAAACCTCATCACTGGTCTGCTCGGTAAGTAAGTGCAGTCTTCACTTCTCCTTACAATTTTTAGAAGTCACTGTTGTAAATTTTCAAAAAACCGACATTTATAAGTTAAAATCAGCAGCTTGCTTGGGATGGACTTCCAAACCAAAACAAATTGTTTTTCCCGCTTACTTCGGAAAATACAATAATTTTAATTTCTGTGAGTTGTCTTTTAACTTTGCTTCTTTGTTCTTAATCGAAGTAGAAAATAGGCGTAAATAGCTTTCAGCTGAACCATTTAAGCTGCAATACTGTATTATTATTTTTCAACCTGGCAATGCCTAAAACTTTTACGTATGCTTTCTGTGCATGCTAGCTTGCATGATTTCTCTTTCATGAATATTAGTCATGGTCAGAAGGGGTCTGGAAACTAGTCATCAGTCAGATAAGGTGTCAAATGCTGTGTCTACACTTGAGCAGTTATTGAGGTTTTTTTATTTTCAGCAGTTGGGTATCATAAAACCTCGGTACATTTGCATTGCGTTCATACTGCCTTAGATATTCTAAGTTCATCTCTCAACAATTACCGACCAATGACTTATTATAGACTATGTACGAACATACCGGTACATACCCAGTACATACACTCATACTTTTATTTGTTAAAGCAGGTTGAGGATTAACGCAGACATAGGCTGATGTGGACCTGCTATCTAATTATTTACAAAGAAAACAAATTAATAAAATAATAAAATAAAAGTATTTACAATTGCGATCAGTGAATAAGTAAAAAATTTATATGGGTGCTAAAAATTCTAAGAATATATAAAATCATCACTTTTCTTCACTACCATTATATAGGGGCCTGAAATAAGAATTCATTAATATCTTCAGAAAATCTATGTAATTTCTTCTTAGTTGTTTCACTTGAATTTGAATTAACTATTATATACAGAAAGTTCCAAATAACAGGTCCTCTGTATATTATATATATTGAACTTATTCTTTTCCAACTTCATGTATTACTCCTGGGATTTCAACTTGGTTGCCCCAACGAGACAATCTTCTTTGCATCTTTGCCTTGAAGAGGGACTTAATGGAGTTTGAAACTTTGTCTTGAAAAACATCATGCATAAGAAGGAGAAGGTGTCTTTTGAAAATGTATTAGAGATTGATGGTAGCCCATTTGATTTTTGAGGATGTCTTTGCTGATAAATAAGTTGTGCACCTCTTTCATGTACAGGGTCCAGAGTATCCATAATTTCTGATCTCTAATTTCTGATTTCTGATAATACCAACACAGTTCCAGTTCTTTAATCTATTAAGATTTTCCTCTAATGTTAGAGATCAGTGAGATTAGATCCACCGTACCTGTTCCTTTAGAAAAGATAGATAGGACAGCAGGTTGCAGAAAAAAAACTCATTGGAACAACACTTAAGAGAGAACTTTTAGGGAATTGTTCGGGGAAAATGAAATGGTATTAAAGAACAGACTCAGTATTCACCTAGTCAAGTCTGAAGTTATGCTTCTTAACAACCGATATTTCATTGGTCCCGCTCCTCCAATACTCTTGTGAGCCACACCACCTGTTTGGGCTTAGCGATTAATAATCATCTGACATGCTCAATATAGGTGGACCATGTGAAGAAATCTTTCACACAGAAAATTGGATAAAGTGTTGGAAGAAATCAATTTCAAATCCATTTTACCTACTGTAACCTGTGGTATAGTGAGTGGTATGGCGAAACTGCAGATCAGAAATTATGGATACTCTGGACCCTGTACATGAAAGAGCTGCTCGACTTATTCTTCAGCAAGGACATCCTCAAAAATCAAATTGGCTACCAATCTCTTACATTTTCAAAAGACGCCTTCTCCTTATTTACGCGTGATGTTTTTCAAGACCGCGTTGGTTGCAAATCACTTGGGTTTCTGGTTAAGTCTGACACAACAAATGTTGATAGATGTCTTAATTATATTAGGGTGGCGGATGACTTGTGGAGTAAATGTATCAGGTGTTCTTTTTTTTCACCTTTCTCTGAGAAAAGAAAAAATGCCTGATCACAGGTTACTGTTATATGTACAAGCTGGATTGTTTTGCCACTTGCGATTGGCCATCACTGATCAAATTAACAAACTTGCTTGAAGCAATAAGAGCACTACACAGGAGTTGAACTTCATTGCCAGTGCAAGCGGACGTATTTTTCATCATGACCTTGGTTACCGAGCTAAACCATGCCTTCTCCTAGCATTCTCAAAAGGCCAGAGGCATTAACAGAAGTTTTATCATTACCTTTTACACTTTACCTGGTAAGTTCACCTTTTAACCCTAATTTAAGTAAAATGCTGAAGTGTAAACACAGCAAAAATCATTCTTTCTGTCAGAGCCCAATCCCAAAAAAAACCCATTATTTTATTAATTATTCTTATCAGTAGTAATTTATTACATTAATAAGTATGTATATAAGAAGTACAGTGGTAGTCGTTCTTATCCTTATCAGTAGTTTGTTACATTAATAAGTATATATATAACAAGTACAGTGGTAGTCGTGACTTGCACCTTCTTTTCTAATTCTTACTTTAATATAGAATAACCGAGAGAAACTTTGGAAACTTGGAAAACTGAACCATGTTGCAATTGCTGTTCCAGATTTAGGTAAATAAACCTCAACTTTTTGAAATTAGCAAATTCTGTCAGGAAAAATAAATAAAGTATCAGTTGCT